CATATACATATAGGTATATGTGGCACCACAACTGTATATGTGGCTCCGTCTCTGTCCGTACCACTAACAATGGGACAAGAGAGAGTGACAAACTAATAAAAAGTGGTTTATGTGGTTGATATTGAATTGATAAAGTAAGAATAAAGTAAGAATGATTTAGAGGCACACAAACTTTACCAAATTTGGTATGAGACAATCTTAGTGAGACAAATAAAAAAAAAAAGTAAAATGAGACAATCTTAGCGGGGCGGAGGGATAGCATTAATTGCTCAAAATAACATTTATAATTTTGAAGATTGACACAGTAGGAGTAAAATAATACTTTGCAAAATACTTGGCCTTCAAAATAACTTTTGAATTCCAATCAATATTTAATTTATATACTAAATATCCAAAACTGATTCAAAAAGTTACATATTTAGTAAAGGTGGTAAAATAATAAATAGTATGTATAAATACTCAACATCTTTTCAAATGATATCAAATCTCAAATTTTGGCACATGATTCATATATAAATTTTTGAAATAACTAACAGGGAAAATAGTAGTTTTGATTGAGAGAGACACCTCAATTTGTAAAATAGGAGACAATATTAGTGGGAGTACGAGTGTTTTTTTTTTATCATCAAACCGATAACATTATATTACTAAATCATTTGCCAAAAGGCTACAAATACAATCGGGCATATCAACGTAATCCACACACTGATCTGAGATGATAACATGTGCCCGAGCAAGAGCATGGGCGACACGATTCGCAGATCGTTTACAAAAAGAGATATCAAAATTACTCTCTGTTTCCAACAACTTCCTAATATCGTCAAAAATTAAATTCACATAAGTCAACCCTCCGTCTTAGATATTCCATGCACAACCGTGAGGGCATCGGTCTCAACTTGCACATCCCGCCACCCTGCCTCCTTTGCATAAATTATAGCATCCCGAACACCCATTGCCTCTGTTTCTTCAGCAGTCCATTCCACTGAAACTGAAGCCCCCCGAGCTTTAATAAAAGCTCCTTCCGCATCTCGGACAACCCAGCCCCATGAGCGAATTCCTCTTCCATCATTGACAGCTCCATCCACATTAATTTTAAGGCAAACCCCGGTCGGCCTTTGCCATCTTTCTCCTTCATTGCGCTTCCTCCCAACCTGCATATTGGCCTGAGATTTGCGCACCTGCTGCCATGCGCCCAGCATGCCCTCGGCTCTCCGCAGGACGCCATCCGCCTCTTGCATTTCATCCTTCCACACAGCATGATTCCTCCTCTTCCACAAGCTCCAAATAATTGCCAAAAACCTGCACCGAGCACCTGCATCCGCCTGCTCCAACTGCTGCCTAAGTCATTGATTCAGTTCCATTTGTGGTCCACCTGTGTTAATGTCCGCGAGTTGCCAGACCTCCTCGGCTTTTGAGCAGGAACGTAATGCATGATCTGAGTCCTCCCCGGGCAGTCCACACAGCTTACAGCCTCCATCAATTAGCACCCCTTTCTTCCTTAGATTTTCAACAGATGGTAGAGTGCCATCCAAAATCTGTCAAGATAGATATTTAAACTTTGGGGGAACTTGGGCATCCCACAGATTCCTCCACCCTATCCAGCCACCTGAATTATGGAGCCCCATGAGCAATCTATAACAGCTTTTAACTGAAAACAACCCATTCTTTTCCAAAATTATTTTGAAAGCCAAGTATTCTTGAAAGTAGTATTTTACTCCTATTATGTGAAACATTCGAAGTTTATAAATATTATTTTGAGCTCTGAATGCTACCCTAAATTATTATTTAGTATTTTGGCAAAGTAAAGGATTATTATTTTACTTGAATGTGTGAAATGATATGAGATGGAATTTTTCTCTTTACAAATCCCAATTTAGTTTATAAATAATATTTTAGAACACTATTAATTATTTTGAGAAATTTTGACCGATATTTTTAAAAAGTTATATGTATCAAATTATATTATTTAAGGGACCGAAAAGACCTTATTTAGCATTCTTACTAATTTTTGTTTCTTTGTGTTTTATTTATGTATTTGGTTTTGTACAAGTGAAGATCTATACTAGATGTGATTTCAAGAGGTTCCGCTACATCACCGTTGAACTAGTAATTCATTTTAGTTTTAGATTTTTAGTTGGACAATCATTTGTGAGAAATTTAGTTATAGTCAATTTATGAAATTGTATTTATGGTGGTTACCTTGTGGCTTGTGCATTCAGTTATGTGAGAATCGAGTTTGACAGTAACGTCCCTTATTTATTTTGATATTCCATTGCACAATTCTAATGTTTGAAATAAATCATTTTTACAAGTATTTCCATGTGGATAATTTAAGGGTGTTCCTTTAAAAAAAAAAGTGTATTACGTTGTCTAGTTATCTTGAGTTTTTATAATGAAGATTGGGTAGGTGTAATTTTGAAAATGTAAAGGTAAATGCATATCCAGAATATCAATATCAAGAATCAAGTCCTATTTGCGAGGAACAGGGTTGGATTTGGACAGGTACTGGTTTTTGGAAACGTAAAAAAGTTTTGGTCAACCTTGCTAGTCCCTGAACATGAAATGGTGTGCATAAATGCCTTAAATGGTGCACATTCGTGTCTCAAGTTTTATTGATTTGAATCAATCAATGTTTTATATTTGGCATATTGCACAACACATATTTGGGAGTTGGCATTCGCCAATGTGCCAATGAATGAGGAGTAAAGCAGCAGCATCAGACCAGTAGCACTTGTTTATTCCAGATTTTTTTATTGACCCCGCCAAATGGCAGTGAGGAGTTGACCATGATGGTTATCGAGCGCTACAGAGCTTCTTAGCATTTTCAACCGCTTCAACGTAAAAATACAATCGCCATAGTGTTATATTGTCCTGCAATGAAGAGACAAGCCTTAAACTCCAATAGTAAGTACCATGCAAATCACTTTCTTATTTCAATCAAAATGCTGGGATGTCCTCATGGGTACACCTCATATAGTTTACTTCCTCATGAATGAACGAGATTGTGGGATGAGGGTACAGTATACCATTTTCATAGAGTGATGTACAGTTGTACACCATGGGACAAACCAAAATATCCTTGTAGCACAAATCTGGTTACCTCTTTTTCTAAATCAATATGTATCTGATTGCTATAAAATGTATCAGATTGCCTATGACACTGAATGATCTTCAGGACGCCGTCAAGATTTCTTGGTGGTAGATTCTTAATCATCCTCTGGAGCTGTTGTTTCTCTAGAAGGGTCATTAACCTGCCAATGTCAACAAAGGTTTCCTAGCTGGTACACAACACTTGATGATTTTTTTGATATATTGGAAAGGAAACTCTTAATAATCATGTTATTAAGCATTAACATCCTTTTCAAGACCAGGTAACAATAAAACATTACAAGCATAAAAAAGAACACTCCAGTGCTTGGTCCATATTCAAACATTGCTCTGGGATTTGAATTGGAGTGCAAAGACAGATCTAGCCAAAGGAGTGCCTGGTTGGTGACATCTTATTTTTGCTTATAGCCTTTTTAAAACAACATACTGGCCTATTCGACTCTATGGTTGAATTGGTTGATAATGGGAAAAAGGTACACCAGTATACTATTTCCTTTATTAAAACAGCATGCAAACTGTAACAAATTAAGTTATAGAAGCTACAATACAATCAAATTCAGCAACTTCAACCATTTCACTGCTAATTCACCCACACCAAAAAGGCTCATGTGAAACAGATTGCACTGCAGTCCGAGGGTCGGCCCACCTTATCCTAGAGACTTGGCAGATGTGAAACAGTCATGGGATATGCCTAAGTGATCGACTAGATCCTAAATAAAAAAGAATCCAAACTCCACCTTGGTAAGATTTGAGCCTTACACCCTATGGCAGCAAGCCAATGATGTTCTTAACTTTAACTTGAGAACTATACCACTCGAATCCATTACCTGCACTTCGACATCACAGCATCAAGTAGTTCTTCCAGTTCCTGCTCCATGTGGCTAAGCTACAAAAAAGAAACATCTAAATCGACAATGAAAATTCCTGACTGTTTTAAAATAGTCAAATAGCACTTGGCTGGCCATGTGTGATTATAACTGTAATTCTAAAAAGAAAAAGAAAACTGGATACCATAGCTAACAAATCATCTGATTCCCTTTTAAGTCCTTCCTCTACAATTGACCTCTCACTCTGGAGGAGAAACACATGATCATCCTAAAAAGTAAAAGTCACCAATTCAAGAATACATCACAACTTCATTTCTATGAAAAACAAATCAAGCAAAGAAATCCAAGAAAACACTAAATTTATGCAGCCCTTACAACTCCATCTTCTTTAGCAGCTCCAACACTAGCATCTGAAAGACAATCATTACTTTTCTCATTCATCAGCAAAGCCTCTCTCCCCACTTTGCGTTTAAGTCTGCAGGAATTGTTGAATGGCTAGCAGATGATGGTGTAAGAATAGTAAATTATACAATGATTGGATACATGAAGGAAAGAAAAGAATGAACGGCTACTACCTCTGGATCAGATCTCTCCTGAGAGCCTTGACTTTCTGAAGTGGAAGCCTAGATGATTCCACATTTAAAGCATTAGTTTTCCAACACAAAAGAAAATGCAAATGATTCTATTTTACAAAAAAAGGGTATTAGGAATCACAAAGACCATGTTATGGGTTTTAGTGCAGGGATGCAGGACTGCTTGTCCTTGATAGGGCTGGAACCCTAGGAAACTTGACCAAATCAAAGCCTTCAGTAATTAAGCTTGGAATGATATAGATGTTAATGGTGAAGCTAAAACACTGTTTTGGACTGACTTGCTATTGATGGTGCAAATGTGAAAAGGTTACGCATTGGAAAATCGCTTCTAAGAATTGCTGTAAGAGAGTGCTTTTGAGTTTTGGAAGTAATAAGCGCTTGGTTTTGAGGTTAGAAAATGCTACGGAGTATGTAAGATTTAAAATGTAAAAAGAAACAAATCTTATAATGTCAAACGATATTATCTATATGCCAAAGCCATTCTAAACTGACTTTTGCATTACGATGAGCAGTCAAAAATTTATTTGGGATTGTGTTAATACAAAAAGGAGCTTTCTCAATAACAATCACAACCCGAAAGGCACTTTTACTACTTATAAGGGCTTGATGAGCAAGTATAGAAACCTAAACAATTACAATACTTCTACGAGGAACCTAACAAAAACAGAATACTAATTTGAATTACAATTTGCCCCTAATGCTATTAACAGGAGACTAATACTCATGCGACTTGCACACATATTTCTCCCCACACTCCCTATTAGACCATTACATACATTTGGATAAAAGAAAATACTAGCACTAAATAAAACTAGCAATAATGAACATAAGTGAATCAAAACTAGGTAGTAGGTACAGAACGCCAGAACTACCGATACAATATAGGAATATAGAAGACACTTACTGGCGAAGACAGATGAGATGGTTTGAGCTTCTTACAAGGATTCCCTTGATCAGCTCCAGGTGCATCAACAGCAGAAATACTTAGAAGACTATCTGAGAAGCCCAGAAGAACCGACTTTAACTCACACATTTTTAAAACAGGGTCAACCATCTGCAATAACAAAGTACAAACTGAAACAGATGAGCTCCAAATTGAAAATCATTGTGTGTTAAATTGGTCCTAGCACACTCCATAGGAACTCTTTAGATGTGAAGTTTACCCCAAACTTATATACTAGACTCAAACCTAGTAGACAACTGAGGTAAGATGCTCAACACACCCCTCAGTCTAACCCGGATTGGACAGCTTGAGCGTTGGAAAATTGAAACAAACCAAGCCCCAGATGGGTTGTCCCGAACCATCATGTGGGCCGGTACACCACAAACCACCATCAAACCTATATCATGTTAGATTGATCTTAACTCGCCTTAAAAGGATACTCTAGAGGTGAGGTTTACCTCAAACTATTATACTCGCACAGGGTAAGTTTAAGGTTCTACTACTCACGCAGTCAACTTAAATATGTTTTAATCTCTAAATTTATATAACTACTTTTTATCATATTTCAATTTGTCTTTTGCGATTCAATACAACTCCTAACGTAGTTCCTAAATAAGCAGATGCAAATTATTAATGCTGATATATACATATCAGCAGGGAAAAGTTAATGTTAGCACTAGTCAACCATCGCAAATAAACCGAGAACAATGAAATGAGATAGAGGGATTACTAAACTATGCTTGAATCTTGTAGACATCTCATGTGGTATCGCTCATCAGGGTGCATAGCAGTAAACAGATTCCAGTAATGTACAAAGTAAAAAAGAGAACTTGCGGAATGGCAGGGAGGGGCTTCATAAAACATAATGAGAAGGGAGATAGGCGAAAAGGTAGAAAAAATGATCATACCTCATCAACATCCTGTGAAAGAGAAAAAACACTTTGGCGAAGCAAAGATTTCATCTTTTCAATTTTTGTCTCAGAGACTTCAGGTCCAATGCAATCAGAAAATAAGGATGAAGAATTTGCAGTGTTATTCTCTTTTGCAGTAGCCATGTTTCCATGATGATTATCAGAAGAGACAGGAGTTCGAAGTGATGAAGGGGGAGAGTCTCCATCTTGAGATAGTAATTCTGCTATCTCACATTTATAAAAGCTGAAGTAATCTGGTCCAGTGACGTTTCCAACATTTGACGCATCACAGCCCATTGGAGATTCTATAATGATAATAACAAATACTACGTTTATCATATATATATGTGGTGTAAAAAAGAAGACAAGTACATGTGATGCGGTAGGATAAAAGAAGAATGCCTTTTGTACATGCTAGGTTCGTTTGGAAAGAAAAAAAATTGTTTTCTAAAAAGTAACCCATTTTCTGGAGATCCTATGTTTGACTTTTTTCGGTTTTTGGCTAAATTTTGGGAAAACGACATCTTCTGTTTGTTTCATATTTCATAGAAAGAAATACGGAGGATAAACTGTTAGAGCCCATATCTCTGCTAAAAGCAATTCCTGCCATAAATACGCACAACAGAACAACAGGGCTTCAATAAAAAAGGTTCATAAGGCATTAGCTGCAAGCTATTCTTTCTGCAACATATGAATATGAAATTCTCTCGGGGCTGTTAGTTGTTGTTATCAGATAACAATAACTTTAGAGTTGGCTTGAGAGAGATGAAGGCATTTTCCAGCGAACACAAATATTAATCATAGCAGTAAAAACAGAAACCAGTTGCCCTACTTGAAATTACAATCAATAATCCATTTGAATCCAATATACTCCGGACGTATAACGAACCTATATACGTTGAAAAAATATAAAGAACCTAAGTTTAATATATATTATCGTATAAAATTAGAACTGAAGATAAGGTTGAAAGGGAGAAAAAACCTGCAATTAATTGTTTCCTATGCAGAGAAGCAGCCAACAAACGGCAGAGAGAAACCCAAAAACGGCAATAAAAGAAGAAGAATCAGAAGACGAGTGATGAGAGAAGAATGGAAACTGGATAGAGGAGCTTAAGGAGCTTATTTTAAAAAGGGAAAAGTACACAAAACTTACATGTGGTTTGGGCCATTTTCAGATAGGGGCATGTGTTTCATTTTCTGACAAAGTGGGCATGTGTTTCAATTCCGTTATCATAGCAGGGGCACGGCGTCTAACGCCGTTAGAAAAATTAACTCCGATTTTAAAAAGTCTCCGAAAAATTAAAAGAAAAATACTGGGAGGTGCGCCTCGTCAAGGAGATCAACAAACTATCTTTCTCTTTGGATTTTTCGGCTCTATTTGGATTATTTTTTAAAAACAAATTCACTAATATCAATTTTCTGGTGGACTTTCTGGAGATATGGTGGCTGGAAACAAAAAAATAAAGATAGTTTGTTGATCTCCTTGACGAGTCGCACCTCCCGGTATTTTTCTTTTAATTTTTCGGAGACTTTTTAAAATCGGGGTTAATTTTTCTAACGGCGTTAGAGGCCATGCCCCTGCTATGATAACGGAATTGAAACACATGCCCCACTTTGTTAGAAAATGAAACACATGCCCCTATCTGAAAATGGCCCAAACCACAGGTACGTTTTATGTACTTTTCCCTTTTAAAAATTACTAGTAATTATTACTTGGATGTTTTTAATGGGATATTTCGGTATTTCCGCCTCACCCAAAATCAGATACGGAGTATCAGGTTGGGTTTTACTTCAACAGGGCATAATGGATTAGAATTTTCTCACCAATTAAAATATCAATCATTCTTCGTGTATACCCCCAGAGGCCTAAGTTACACTTTATTTGTCACTCATACAAAAAAAAGTACAAAAAGATACACTTTCGACAAAATTGTCTGTTTGAGCAAAAAAATGGTTTGTTGATTAATGCAACTTTTGCCAGATCGATCAAGGTAGTTGCACGGAAACCAATATTAGTGTACACAGATATTAGTTGTATATGTAGACAAAAAGTGTATGCACATATATAATTTTTTGTACGTGTTGTACGCAGACATTTGTTTCGGTGCAATTTAAAGACTTTTTTATAATATTTTTTGTCTTTGTACACATACACTGACATAAAACTAGTGTCCGTGTACTGTGTACATACATTTTTTTCTATGGCGAAAGTTTATAGAATGTTACTAATTTTGTAGTTTCATTTTTCATTACAGACAATCCTTATAATCATTTAGCACCATACAAACAAAAATTAAAACGGGTCTAACTTTTCGATGAGTTTTCCACAAATTTTCCGGTGAGTTTCCAGTGAAAATGGTGATGGAAGATGGTGACGAAGATGATGATGGAAGGTGATGGTGAATAATAAAACCTAAAAAGAAAGAAAAAGATAGAAGGAAATAAAAAGAAGAAGATTGATGATAATGACAAAGGAGAAATAAAGAAAGAAGAAAGAAGAAATAGAGGGAGAGGTTCGTACGATGCAAGAGGGGAGGAAGAGAGAAAACAATGGGAATGGAAGGAAAAAATGGGGGTTGGTTATATAGGGTGTACCCTGGATGTAACTCAAGGTGCCCTGGATGTAAATCAGGGTGTATCTTAAGCAAAATTCTTAAAACATTCTTAATTCTCTATAAGTTAATTATTACATATTAAAATTAATGCATCTACAATATCACAATAATGACAATAAAGTTAACTATTACATATCAGATGCAGTTTTGGACTTATCCTGATGTTCTGAGAACTAATTTTGAACCCAACCTCGCCCTTTGTAGGAAATGACTTGATGAATTTGGGAATCGTTTATCGGTGAATGTTGACACCTCTTAGATATATCAGAATTTACTACATCAACTAGTATGCGATTTAAGTCCACTGAGGGAATAAAGAAGTAATATTAACCATAAGTTTATTAATACAAAATAAAAAATGGAGTCTTTGTAGAAATAAATAAAGAATGTTGGCAAACGTTGATAGAGCCAAGGCAAAGCCAGGGGAAAATGTCAGCATGGGGACTAAAATCCTATTACCTCCACCCCTACATCCTAAGATTGGAACAAAGGAAAGTTATGTGGTTTTTAAGAATGATGTGTTTGATAATGAATTGATAAAGTGAGAATAAAATAAGAATGAATAAGAGCTACTCAAATATTATCAAATATAATATGAGACAGATTTAGTGGGACGAATGGAAAGGAAAAAATAGAAAATTTATAGTGGAGCAGAGGAAGTATGTTGTATAAAATTATGGGTCAATTCAAACCTGAGGTTCAACCTGATCAAAGGTTGATCAATCCAGTCAACGTAACCCTGACCAAAATATATAATATAAAATATGTAGTATAATATATATATATATATATATATATATATATATATAGCTGTAAATCAAATTAAAATCATAAATTTTGAAAAGAGAAAGCATACCAAACATTGTATAAGAGTGATAATGTGTACTTCGTATAATTTATATAACAAGCATGTACATAAATATAAGGGCCTAAATATAATGTTTCAACATAAATGTTTTTAAAATATCTTGTCTCAGGGATGGGATTGTTTTTATAGCTGAAAATAAATGAACCTAACACGTAAATACAAATTTTTGAAAAAGGTTATAAAGATAGTCATGGACCCGGTCCAGTCCGACCAGACCGGCCCGGAACACCGGTTCCGGTACCGGGCCTAGGCCCGACCCAGAGAGTATACCGGTGGCGGTCCCGAGCCAGCAAAATAGCGAACCGGCCCGGCCGATTCGGACCATTTTTTTTTTTCTTTTTTTTTGGGTTTGGGCTGGGTTTAGGTGGCCTGGGTTGGGTGATTCCGAGAGGTTTGGGGGTGGGGGATTGAAATAAATAATAAAACACCAAAAAAAAATAGGAACCGGCCCGGCCCGGAACCGGTAGCCTACCGGGCCGGTCCTTACCCTAAACCTTCCAGGCCCGGCCAAGCCTAGGCCTGAACCAAAACCGGACCGGGCCCGGTCCACCACTATATATAGATACAAATTTATTTTTGCACATCATCACTACTTTATAATTAGAAAACTCTATAGTAATTAGTAAATAGTAAAAGACCAATACACTAATCATACGTGCATTTGAGTTCGAAACGAGAGGCAGACTCTGATCTTAGATTCAAAATTTTGTTTGATTGAGAGAATCCTCCATGCTCCAATGGCATTGCCACCTAGTTTTGTTCAAAAGTCGCAATCCTTTTCACTCACGACCCCGACCCCACAAGGTATATTAGGGAGAAATCTTTCTTTCTCTTTAAGTCTTAATCTTATACGTAGGATAAGCGGCGGACCCAAAGGGGGAGGCAATTGAGGGTCCGCCATCACTCCAATTTTTTTCTAGGTATATTTACCTTGAAATTTATAATATAAATGAATTTGTATGCATTTTTTTTATACCACCGCTCCTCCTATCGAGAAATCTTGTGTCCGCCGCTGCACAGGATATGCATACTCCCTTTGAGCATAGATTTACTTTTATGATTTTCAACTTTTTAATTGTTTTTTGTTCTTATTTTCAATTAATGAATAAGGATTTTAACTTTGAAGTTTGAACCATCAATTTGTGAGTTTCTTTGTTCATTAATTTTCATAATACCAGTTTCGTGTGCTTCCAGTGTTTTTAAAACAGTGAGATTAGTTGGTCGTCAAAATGAGCCAACACTTCGAATTTTTTTTCACTCGAGTAAAAAGATTATTATATGAAATAATCACATAGCATTTCAGTAAATACACATTCCATCAGCTAATTCAATCAAAGTATTACTGAATACTTTCATCTAAACCATTTCAGTCATTTCACCAATTTTCAATACTCACCTAATTGTCTCTTAAAGACTACAAACTAATGAAATGAAATTTCTAATGATCGAAAAATTTGAAGCATAAGATCATTTTAAACAAGATGAATAAATCTAAAATCTAAACCTTAAGATTATTTCTAAGAGATCATTTCTATGAGACCGAAAGATACTTAGATTGACATACCCTAACGGTTGAAATTGAAATGAATAATTGATTCAAATGAACAAAAAACTTAAACCGTTCTTGTTCAAAGAGTATCATACAGCAAGCAGACAATTAACGTTAGCTACAAATATGCATCACGAAAGAGTGATGCATATATTTGCTCTAGGCTTATAAGAGCATTATTTCATCCTATAATCATCAATCCCAAGCTAATATACAAGGAGACTTTCACTTCAATAATTCATAGGGGGGAAATGGTATGGATACTCAATGTAACAAATATATCAACTCGTTAGGACTTCACAAAAAAATAATCATAACCTCCCAGGAGGAAGAATCTTGGGGACGTGCTCCATGTGTTTAACTACAGACGATGGAGGAAGACGGCCAGTGCAAATCTCATGTACTGTGGAAAACAGAGGGAAGCCCTCCAGCCATCCCCGAGTAGATAGAAACTCGTAGACCTCTTTTGCTGTTGACACACCCTACAAAACATAGATGAGTCTCACCATCATTTACTAGGATTTTGAAATTTAATTTATTATTTACAAACAAATATATGGGAGTTAAAGGAAAGAAGTGTCCTAACATAAAAATCCACAAGCACTGCTATTTTGACAGAACTTATGTAATTGATATATGATTCTCGTCAAAATTTTACTTGGATGTTCTATTTATTACAGCTTTTTTCCAGTAAAGAAGGGCAGGCGTAACAAAACTGGCTCACCCCTTTGTGTTTTCCAGTGAAGAGGTTCCCTAGTCTATGTCATTCCCCTACCCCCCCCCCCCCCCCAATCGTATGTGTTAGAGTCTATGTCTTCCCCAGATCAGTTGCGTGCTAGAGTCTCACATGGGATCATTAAGGGTTATTTAGTAACTTAAATACAACAACAGTACAACACACATGGAGGAAAAAATGTTACACGCCTTGAGGTACACCTTTTGGTGTGTATTGGTTAAAATGAACCTAATATGGCATTGCATCCCAAGTTATCAGATGTTAGATGGCCGGTGAATGTGTGTTAGAATCAGTAAACTTCATGTTCCAGGATGTTGGTCCTCAGGCGGGAACCGATGGGCATGTTAGAG